AACCTACATTTTGGTCTCCAGCCTGAAATAAAATATTTTCCTGAATATATAACACAAATTTGGGAGTCTTTGAAAAATTGTTTCAAAGTAAATTAATTTTAGAAAGCTGGGTCATCCAATCTATTTATGTCTTATTCCTTTACAGATTTATAGTAGGATGATATCATTTATTGCCTATTTTCTTTGATGTAAGACAACTAGTTAGGAGGTCAGATGCAAGAGAGCAGTGGTTACAAACAAGATAGCACTTCTTATCTGGAACCACATTACCCAGAAGTCAATGGTAATGACCTGACATCCCTCAGTCACTTGACCAATTAGTGGAAAACAATTGGTCAGATAACATTTAAAACCAGGAAACTGAGCTTCCAGAGAGCTGTTGGACTCTGCTGGCTTTTTGATTTTGTGTGGTATAAAGCATAGGTATAAGGCACCACAAAAGAAGTGACTGACTGTGAGACCAGAGACATGAAAATAAATAAATATTAGTTGCTTTTGGAAAGGGGTTGGGGACAAAATTGAGTTTTGGAGCCAGTAAATGGTTTGAGGCAGATTTAATTTTTTTTCTTTTTTTTTTCTTGTTACAATAGTGGGAATAAAGACTTTTATTCTGTTGAAGTGAAAGGTCTGCAAAGGTCCATGAGCCATGCTACCCTATATAGGGATCTTTCACACAGAGTACCTCCTTACCTGCATTCAGAAATATAGATCTTAATAAACGTGTTTAGTTTAATCTTTATGGTCACTGCAAAGTTAAAGTACTTTCTTTTAACCTTGCTCTGAAAATATATTGACCAATAACTATTTAATTAAAAAATAAAAGATGTGTAGTCATAAAATACAATATAATGTATTGACAATGTTTAGTAATGTTTGACAGTTTTTAGTAATGTAATGTTTGACAACGATTAGTCAGTAAATTGTAATTTGCTTTACTATGGTTCTGCATATCACAGGATAGGACAGATTATAGACTATAGGACAGATTATTGAAGAAGACTGTTGTTTTTTATGCATTCCCTTGTATGCAATAACCACTTATAGGGCCCAAAATGGACTGTGGAGAGCTGGAGCTTAAACCAGCAGTACAAGGCAGGATGTACCCAGGACAGGATACCAGTCCATCAAAGGGCACACAGACAATTTAAGGTGTTAATCAGTCTAGTCTTTGGAATGTGGGAAGAACTGGAGAATGTGAAAATAGAAATATGGATTACTGAATGCAGAAAGATTGAGATAAAATATAATCTTCAGAAAAAGATTGCAGAAGGTGAAAATTGTAAACTCAAAGTTTTTATTACAGATCCTAAAAACAAAATTGTATGCATTCTGTTTGAGAAAATCTTTTATTTTCTTTTTTTATGAAAGAGTGTTGCACTTTTTGAAAGCAAATAAAGTGACAGTCTCTCAGGTTTATTTCATACATCCCAACCTCATACGAATCTATAAAGAATGTTTTTACTCCAAACACATTCTTTTTAGTCACTGCCACTCATCATGTTTTGACAGAGTGGGGGATATAAAATCATGGATGACTTGAAGTAAAAATAAAGCAATATTTGAGTTCCAACTTTGCTTTCCACTTGGCATACCTCCACATTAAGTTTCTCATTCATTGCTTTCGCAGCACACTTCAGCTACTCTGTTCATAGTTGCCTTCCAGGGTAAACTAAAGACAGATTCAGTCCTATTCTTCCAATTATTATCCTTGTCTGATAAATACTGTATTTTCAAGTGATTCGAAATTACATACTTCATCATGGCAAAAAAATGTTAATAAAAAAACTGTTTTAAGTTTTAAAGAATAGAAAAGAAATAAATTAGTGGAAACTACTAGTGTGAAATAATTCTGAACCATATTTGTGAAAAAATAGTAAAGATCGGTAATTCATGAGTTTGCAAGAATGATTTTAGGGAAAGGATGTTTAACCCTTTAAAATCAGTTAAAGAACTAATTCTGTGTCAACGGCTCATTGTTAAGGAGAAAAAAACATTTTTTAAGGTCTTTTACAATAAATTTGAATAGACTGATAATCATTTTCTTTAACAAAAGTATTGCCTGGGTTTACATGCACTTCCATATGGTTTCAACTGTTGTCCTCTGGTTCATGTTTCACTGTTTCACATTTAGTCTCCTTTATGCAGGATTAAAATAGTTCAGTTCTTTTAATCTGTGGTGTTGAGTCGAGGAATGTATTTGGGCTACTTCTATTTGCATGTTTCCTCACATTACATACACAGTTGAATCTTTCTCAAAAGCAGTCTTTAACTTTTGTGTAATGTTATATTCATTTTATATGAAGTTTATGTTTGTGCTACATGTACCCACTTGCAACACCCACCAATTGTATATAGTACATTTCAGCTGCTTTGTGTTTACCCAGTGTTGAATTTGGTACTTTGAATTTCTTTTGCAGTTTTTGGTAATTTTTCTATTTTGATATAATCTGTAAACGTAACTAGTTTGTTACCTGCACCTGAATCTAGATCATTGATATAACACAAGAATAGCACAGATCCCTGTAGCACCCCTTATTTTATTGTCAGTTTCCAATAACAAATTCCAAGTATCACTTTGAGTGCCAATTGCCTGTTACATTAGAATTATTGAACATTATCTTTTATTAGAAACGACTAAAATCCTTCTGAAAATTACATCTGCTATGTTATAAATTAGTATTTTATCCACTGCTGCCTGTTTGCTCAAAAAGGACTCTAGTTAATTGCCTTTTCTAAATTCATGTTGACTTTTCTTAAGTCTTATAGAAGCAAGAATTATTGGTGTATAATTACTTGGTTTGGTTTAGTCATTATTTTAATGGACGGACACTACATTAGCTACATTTTCCAGTCAGTAGGCATTACCCTGTCTTGAGAGACTGCTGGAAGAGTTTTGTCAATAACCAATGAGTAACTTCTCTTGTTTCATTAAGTACTGTACAATTGAAAGACTGATAGTACATCAAGGCCTGTAGATTTGTTTTTCCTTAGTGCTTTTAGTACATGTAACACTTCTGGTTCTGCTATGATAATGCAACACTCAAGACTGCTCCCATCAGGGATTACATGGATTAAATTCTGTGTGATCAAGGAGATTCTGGAGGCAGGTAGCATTGTTAGAATTTGTTTTTATTGTTTCAGCTGAGTGGAAGTGCAAAAAAATACACGACACTAACACACAGAACTATCTTTTTTTCTTCTACCCAGTACCACTCACACTGTTAAAGGATATATATTGGGGTTAAACAACACAAGTAGCTATAGATGTAATGCACATTCTTAAAATTATGAAACAATATTTTCATTTTTTTAATTAGAAAATAAGGTTACACTTATATTATTTAAAATGGGGCTTTGTTGTTCCTCAGCTGGAGCCAGATGTTTGTAACTTCACTGGTAAACACGTGGGTGAAACATGCATAATTTAATTTTCCTCTTCTTCACATAAAGAATTCTCATCCTTATTTATGAGATCCTTTACAGTTTCCTTTACTGTTCTTTGACAGTTATAGTACTGAAAACTATTTTCACAAAAGTAATCAAAGAATAATATCCATGTGAAACAACACAAAAACCAAGAATTTTCTTTCTGATTGGCATGATATTTTCAAATCTAAATAAGCAGCTCTGTATATTTCATACCATTAAGCTGCATAAGCAACACATAGAGCACATTATTTTTAGGAAACACAAAGCTTACTGTACATTGGAAGCTAAAGGGATATTGTATACTATAAGTAGGTGATTCTTACTCCATAGCACAGTGTGATGAGTGTGCAAGGCTACACCAGCATAGGCTGCACCAGTGGTGTAAACACCAGTCACCAAGGGCACAATTCCTACAGAAGTACTTTTCAGTTAGTGATTAAAACCTGAAACACCATCTGCTTGATCAAAAAGATCTTCTGTCCTACATGGACTGAACCCTGAAATATAAAGTATTGATGATATCAAGAACAGTGCTTGTTATTGTAACATACTAGTAAGAAGCTGATTTGATTTTAAATTTGTGAAGTTTCAGGTTTGTCTCCAGTTAATAGTAAAGAAAACTAGTGATTTCCTATTGAAGAAACAGATCAACGTCTTGGAATGGGCTCCACAGAGTCTAGACTGAGCCTTTCCAGTGTTACCTCAAGCAACACTTGCTTCTTTGTAACAAAAGAGGTCTGTCAGAATGTATTCATATACTGTATATGGTGACCAACCTTTTGATTTCTATTTTAATCACTTAAAGCTCCCATGCAGGTAAATGGAGCCTAATGTTACCCTTCATGTAACTCCTGATTACTCTTTTGGGGATGAATAATTCAAAATAAAATGTAAAAGACATTTTCAGTCCATTATTAGATAATATGGATGAAATGATGACATTGAAAATGACACTTTTTGAATTGTATGTGTATTTTTTACTGAATAAAAACAAAATTATGCACCGTATTTTAATTACAGCAGTTTGGATTTAAAGGTTTTTTTTTCATTCCATTATTATATTAGATTGAAATTCCACACTCATGTGTAAAAGTGCTATATAAGTGTAAGCAATTATTATTATTATATTTGATTGGTACGCTAATACAACTATACTTATTAGTAAGTTATATATTTATTAGTGAAACTGAGGTATTTTATGAGAATTGGAATAATATCAGAACAACCCCACTAGATAATAAATACATTAATTTATACAAAAAGTCCTAATGTAAAAACTATGTCTATATGCTTTTTTTCAGTAGAATTAATGAAAACATTATCACTGTTAAGTATGTCTTCTATAATACCTATAAATGGACTGCAATTGTTAATACTGTCTTTTGTAAATCCAGATAGACTTTTTTGCATTTACACAATGTAACTCTTATAAAACTATTCTTTCCGTCTGTATAGTATTAGGATAATTAGATGTCATATATCATCCCTTAAGGAATTCTGTCGGTTTTTGATAGAATAGTTCCATTTTCCCCGTGTGAAGTGCTGGAGTTTCTCCAAGCATAATGGATATTTTTAATTCAGCTCCTTTTTACATCAGGTTATAAGAATTCCCTCCCACAGTTTCCCTGGATCTCATTATTTTTATTTGAAATACTGATCTATATTTACTCATCAAAAACATATGTTCACACTGAAATAGAAAACAGTAGCCTCTCTGTAAAATATATTGAAAGTATATTGGTTGATGGTCAGAGATTAAAGTAGTGATTTAGAAATACCCTGAAACATCTATGGTGTACTACATTACTTAAAGGCAGACAAAACTCACTTTAAATCAATGGCACATTAGTATTTCAATGGACTTTGAGCTTGCTCTCTTATGGTCACATTCCTTTTTTTAAATTAACGGAACAGATACTCAACCTGATTAAACTGGTTCAATACGCAGCATCTGACTAGTCATCACAAAGCCCAGCATTCAATGTCATCTAGTGTATTTTATTTATTATTGTTTTAACAGCCTTAGAACTCCATCACGGTTAATTTAGTTAACTTAGTTAATTTAGATCAATTATATGAATATACCTGAAACCTAGTGGTTTCCTATTTAGAATCCAAGTTAGTTGGTAACCTTACCTTGGAATCTGTTATTCTACCCCTTCTTTGACCGGACCAAAACATCATTTATCATGTGGGGTTTGCCATTTTATCTGGAATTACAATCCATGCAATATTATTACGTTCGGCAATGCTTCCCTTAAAGGATTCAATGTTATTGAAGACCTTCTGTTAGGTACATTTTCATTAACACCTCCTAGCCTTCTCAAATGTACTGTATATAGCAAAAAAGAATGCAAATACACTGTTGTGAGTAGTAGATGACTTAGGATCTAAAATCTACAAAGTTTGAGTATATCTTTCTGCATGTGTAGAGTAACACACACCTTTATTAATTAGTGTTAAAAATTAATAAAGTATTGTAATATATTATTTTTATTTTTAATGACCTAAGTGCAACTGAAGAATCTTGTAATAAACCTGTCATTTGAATTATAAAATGGATTGTTTGTATAATAGTTTTAATCTCAAAAACACCAATCTCTCATACAGGGACTTTGTGACTAATAGTATTTCTAAAAAGTTTTAAAAGATCAATAGGGCACTGAACAGAGGCACACAGGATCCATTTTTTCAATATTTTAAAAAGGTTTATGGTTTCTGAATAGATGTACAAGGAAATGCAGAACTCACCACTTCAACGCCTTCAGATGGACACATCCCCACAAGTCGCATATAAGGGTCTCTTTTAAAAGTCCAAGGAGGAGGCTATGTTCTGATGTAATGGTAAATTCCTGTGGAGTGCAGACAGTTTCATAAGACCTGTAGGCTCTTAGGTGGTCATGCTGTGAGGCCCATCTGTATCCTGCATACTAGCTCAGGCAGTAAAATTAAACAAGGTACCTTAATGATGTTCAGTTATATAGTGGTTCCAAAGTAATATTATTCCATTTTAAGAATATTCATTGTCCAAACAAACATGAATATGTAGTAGTATGTTATTGGCAAACACAGATTACTACATGGTTGGTAGTTACAACTTTATATGTAATAAAGGGTGTGAATATTAATTTTGCATTGATAGATAATAATTCTTAAAATAATATTTAAATTCACAATATATTTGTTAATATTTCATCAAAGTATTAATTCTATAATTTTGCCATTTGTATTTTGTGGCTAATGTATGATAATAACTGATTTTTTATATTCTGACCCATCAAAACTGTTTATCAAATGAAGTTTTTAAATTGTTTGAAATCTTACAAAGGCCTGCCTCAGTTTGTACATTTATCTTTCTTAATTTAACACTAAGAAGTGCAGAATATATGAAATCCATAAAGAAGATTTGCCAACACTGACTTAAATATGTTCAATCATAACCCATGGCTGTAAGACATTAGGAATAGTGGAATTTAGCAGTACATGTTTAACACATTTGGAAAAATGTGATTTGATATTCTTCCACTATTGTATTTGAATTGTATAGCTTTACAAGTTAGTTCTATACATGTTTTGTTAAAGATCCCCAGTATTTCCATAGTGTTTTAATTCCTTATTAAATTCAAATCAGAGTTTTGTGTAACATCATAAATTATGAGGCTCCAGCTTGTTGGTTTAACTCTCCCTGTTCATCTGAATGCTTCACACCTCAAAAATAAACTTTTTAACTTTTTGTTTTTTGGTTTTGTGTGTGTGCCTTGCTATTTGAATCTGCCATCAGATAATATAGCACTAGGAATCAAACCTCTAAGAAAGCTATTTAATAAAAACCTATTAGCCCTGCTGATAGTGACAGGATTCATGTCAACAACGTTTACAAGATGCCTTAGTTTTTCATTGTTAAAATAGATTTTAATCATCTTTAGCGCCAAGGCCATTACTACTGATTTGAAATACAAGATTTAGAACTTTAGATACTATTGAACAATATGTAAAAAAAAGATTAAGTTTGGCTACTCCTTTTCCTAATTAGTATAAATATTGTTTTCTTTTTTAATCTATCACGTTTTGGCACTATTTTGCCATTGGGGTTTTGCAATGGGTTTGAGAGCTGCAGTCAGGCTTTCAGATCAGCCTCACAGGAAATAATGCAGAAAAGGGGAGGAGATGTTTACTACCAATACATTTCCATTCTCTTACTTGTGTATAATGATTAATTATTTATCCCAATAAGCTTTCTCGTGGATCATTTCCTTCAGACATTTCAAGTGACTTTTCTCTTCTGTGCTGTCAAGTTATTTTCTGTAACAATCACGGTGAGGATTATAAGGTTGCTGTTACACAAAGAGTAGCTTCCAAAACATCAGAATGCTGTGATCCTTGAAAAAACTGAATAACTCAATGTATGATTCAGCATCCAAAGCAAAAAATGTAATTAGGCAGTATTGCATTAGACACCAACACAGATAAATCCTAACCCTCCAACCTCATTATTTTAGCAAAGTCTGAATAAATACAGTAGATGAAACAATAAACCAAACACATGGGAAAGGTTTAACTACACATGTTCAAATAATTTTAATTGGAACTTCAGGCTGTAACTACTAACCTTCCACATTCAGAGCTGGTACATTTTTGATAAAACGTGAGCATGCTTAGCCTAATTGCAATAAACAGATTTTTACTGTACATTTATTGTATACCAAAAAGAAATAACACCACAATGCGAAACACAAATTAAATATCAAGATGACTGATAGAACAAAATTAACATTAGGCAGTAAATTTTGAATAGGTTCAGGCACTGTCGGTTTTAATTTGGTGTCCTCTCGAGTAAAGCAAGAGTTAGAATGGCTGGTTCTCTTTCTTGAGGCACTTTGAGGTCACAGTGTAATGTGAAAGATGATGTCATTTCTTGAGGTTAAAAAGTGAAGACCCAGTTAATATGAGACTGAGTGCTCTAGTCATATTTTTTACAGTAGAATGAACAGCAACAGACGACAGTGTTGTTGCTTAACTACATGTTAGTAACTATGACAGTTCTGTGCAAATTGACTGAATTTATAGTCTGCAAGGATACTGTGCCATCATTTAGGTGATTTAGGTGAGCATCATTTTAGACAGTGAGAGATGTGAATATACTCTGTAGCCCAACTGTGAGGGATCATTACTTTTTCATTTACATTTTTCCCATGCAGATTACAGAAATTGTACAACAGAAAGCTGCATGTTAATACAGTGAATACGTGCAGCAAGTTCACAGCTTTACAAAAATATTTTTTATAATGTTTTGTATAAAATGGTGTTTTCAAGTGAATAAATCATCACAGATAGGTTACCAAAATGTAATAATGAGACTTGTTTTGCAGAATGTGTACATTGTAGTATTAAACATTCATTACAATTATTGTTACATTTGAATAGCCTACTTTGTTATGTTTTATTTGTACTGTAATACCATATTTTCCAGACTTTAAATCACAATGAAAACATGAATTTTCCTTTTCATGACAAAATTAAAGAACTTTGGCAATTAATATGTTTGACTAAACTAATATAAAATCTATCAAAATTGACATAAAAGCAGAAACTGCTTTTTTATATGAACTGTCTTATCTGTAGTATATTCAGATAGGTAGCTTTTGAAGCATTAAAGAGCATGATATGGACTGAAAGACAAAAGGAATATAATTTAACATAATGCTCCATCTAATTTTTTGCAGTTTTTTAAGAGAAGGCTATAGGTCATAACAGGTTTAGCATATTGTGTCAGGGTGTACTGTTGTAATTAAGTCTGTAAAAAATGCAGTCTTATGCAGATTAATCATATACAGTACATACAAATATAAATGAATCCCAATTTCACATATAATACAGAAAATGTCATTAAATCTATGAAGTTGTAGTGCTGATGTCTTGCTTTATTCATTGATATATATATATAAAATGTTGTTGCTGGTAGAAAGTTATTTTGGAGTGCAATTTTATCTTGCCCAGAAGCAGCATCTACTGAAGAGTTGTGACCCAGGGATCAGAAGCACAAGGATCCTATTTCAGCACAACCATTAATAACAGTCAGTCCTTGAAGAAAAGCTCATTAAGAGCTATGGGATGCTTGTCCCAGAAACAGTTTTATTAGCAGTTTGCATTTTCACCTGTGAGATGTTTAAAGTGTGCTATTTTCTGAAAGCGACCAGAATTATAAAAGAATGCACATTTGGATTTATTGTTTGCAAGTCGTGTTGAGTAGTTAAAATGAAGATTGAAGTTTTTTTTTTCTAAAAACAGTATTGTGAATTGAGCTATATTAAATTTTAATAGGAACTGTAAAACTGCATTTGCTTTTATAATTAAACTTTTTTTAAACCTGTGAATGCAAAACGTTCTAAAGCCTTCTATCTTCAGTTATGCAATCCAACAGAATTCACCTCAAATTTCCTAATAAATCATAATATACTTGAATTTATTTTTCCTTTTATGTTATTTGGTACAACAGCCATAAATGATAATGAATGTTATCGCAGAAGGTAACATAAGGCCATATTCAGGAACCGCTACAAATAGAAATATAAAAATTAATTAATTCTCTTTGTATTATTATTGTTATTATACAGAGTAGAAAGAATGAGTATTGTGGAGCATGAAAATTTGTACTGTGAAGACTTAAAAATACACCCCCTCATCTTCTAAGCACTCCTACCATTGCAAATCACAAATATTCAGGATCATAAAACACAAATGAATCAGAAAAGTTCAATGTCATGTATTCAGAAGGGTCCCCTCATTCAATATGACACGTGCACCAGTGAGCTTCTGCTTCACTGCACATCGGCAATCAGTTTATAACTGAGTCCGGAGGATAACATCAGTAGAAGTGTTGAAGCAGGGCAGTGCAATCCAGGTCCTGAAGAGCCAGGGTGTCTGTAGGTTTTCTAGGTCTCTTTAAAGCAAAAGCACCTGGTCAAGCCGCTATTAAGATGATTTAGTTACTTAAAAGCCTTTTGGAATGAAAACCACACACAAGCTCTCCTGGACCAGGACTGGACACCCCCACATTACTGTAAGGCAGTAAGTGGATCAAGCAATAGCCTTTATGTTTCAAAATGGTTTTGTAACAGGCTAGACAGGCTCTCTGAAGTTGACCGAAAGATCTGATCTGATACAATGTGACAGTGGCTTCCCTGCCACAGCTGCTGATAGCACAACCTCATGCAGCCTGTGGATTACTGGCCTGGGAACTACAATGTGCCAGAACCCCCACTGTATCCAGATATAGAGTTTCTGTGTTTCTCAAACACTAAGCTGTCATTGAGGGCCGCACTGCCAGGACCAACAGCTGTGCTTGTAAGGAAGAATCCAAAGTACATTTTAAGCTCTTATAATGGATTTTATGAAATACAGAAAAAACTATATTAAACACAACCGTAACTGAATTGCTAAAAATATCCTTATAGATAAAATAAAAAATCTCTCTCAATTTTGTTAATAATAACATTTGTTGTAGAGACTAATTAATAATGGTTTCAAAGCTGATGTAGTGATAGCAAAATGATAGCAATGTAGATCTGAGAGTCCTGGGCAAATTCTTTTTAACTGAAATGCAATTAACCAAAGCCAACCAAATGAACTTCTTCTGGAACTTGATTCCCCTCATAAATTTTCAAATAATGTATTAATACCAGGAACAACTAGTTTGTTTTCATTTCAGTTTTCTCCTTTTTGTTCGTGTTTATACCTCTTTGAATTGCAAATGAGTATAATAATACAATTAGTGCATGTATTAGCTGTTATTTGAGTCCACAATGTTCTTGTTATACGTCTTTATT